TCTTTGGATTAAAAAAATGTTATCCTTTCCCAGCCTGTCTCAGTGCCATCACAGTGCATTTGAAAAGCTTTCAGGCAGTTGGAGAAGGTCAGAAACACTCATCTGTCACCTGGCTAGTTCCCTGCTGATGCCATTTTCATTGAGTTCTTGACAAGTCCTCTGGTTCTGTCCTCAGTTTTTCCTTTGGCATCTTTTGTTTGCTTGTTTGTTTGTTGGCCTTTTGAGACAGGGTCTCATGCAGCCCAGGTTGGCCTTGAACTTGTTATGTAACTGAGGATGACCTTTGTTAAACTCCTTATCCTTTCGCCTCTACATTTCAATGCTGAGATTAAAGGCTTATGCCACCATGCACAGCCTCTTTTGTCACCAACCTATGGACTTTTGAGTAAGAAAAAGTCAAGTCCAACTTCCCATGAAGTGCCTCAAATAACAAGTGGAAACCTTTCAAATCGTGAACTCACTGAGTACAAAAATTCACCCCCAAGCAATTCCTTGGGACCATAGAGCAACACTCAGATTAGGATCCAAGCTGATGATGGATACTCCACTGTACAATATCAGAGACATACAACACTTTCAAGTGAACGTTATTAAAGAACTGTCCTGGCTGCAAGGGCTGGTCCCTTTCATCATTTTATCCCTCAATGCATGTTTTTTTTTTTTTTTTTTAAAAAAAAAAAGCAATTTAAATTAAAAAAAAAAAAAAAAGATGAGCCAGGCATATGGTGCATGCCTTTAATCCCAGCACTCAGGAGGCAGAGGCAGGCAGATCTCTGTGACATTGAAAACATTAACAGAGTAGTTGGGGAAAAGAAACTGGTAAGCTCTAAAGAATCTAATTTTAAAATGAATTTTCTATCCCCTGTCAAGCTTCCGTATCTGGTGACCTGTATTCTACACGGCTTGCCTCTTTATTGAAACCTCCTGTGGCATCATAAGAGACTCACTGAAATATCCGTTAATGAAAAGCTAGCCAGCAAGAAAGAAGTAATAAGGACATTTTATCTCAAAAGAAACTGGTAAGCTCTAAAGAATCTAATTTTAAAATGAATTTTCTATCCCCTGTCAAGCTTCCGTATCTGGTGACCTGTATTCTACACGGCTTGCCTCTTTATTGAAACCTCCTGTGGCATCATAAGAGACTCACTGAAATATCCGTTAATGAAAAGCTAGCCAGCAAGAAAGAAGTAATAAGGACATTTTATCTCTTTGGCAGTTTTCTAATGAAAAAGAAATGAAAGCAAAGCACATTCGTTTTAATTGATGAAAGAAACACGGATTTCATAAAGTTGAAAAGGTAAATAAACCCTGCTAAGGGCAAATAGCGCTCTTCTGTATGTCTTTGCGAGAGGTGTTGAGTATTGCTCAGATGGAACATAAATTTAGCTTTCTGGTAATTATCTGGTTTCATATTTAGTCTTCCTAGGATTAGCATCATTTTTTATTTATAATGGCATATTTCTAATGATGGACACAATGCCTGATACAAAGTTGGTGCTCAATAAATTATTCTTGAGTGAATGAATAAAAGATATCACATCCTTTCCTGTAGGGATTTATTACCTGACTAGGAAGAGAAGACAAGAATACACAGAGACACAAACGATGCTTCCTATCATTCATCCATCCATTGTTAATAAGTCACTGTAATTGTATTATTCACTACTATTTATTTTCTTCTGGTTGTGGGAAGTCCTAAAGGTAGTGAAGATGAGTTTTCTGTATCAGCCTGTTTCATTTCTTCCAATGCTCCACCTTCAGGCTTGCCTCCCAATTTACCACTTACTATTTACTAGGCTTGGTGTTCTTCTCTTCCTTAGTAGTTGATTAACTCATCCCAGTAGAAATGTCACTTCCTCCTGGAGGGCCTCCACAATTGCCAGGGCTGGGTTAACTTGCTCTGAAATATGTTCCAAAACAACATTAAGAATTACAATCATGATACCCTTTTTGTATGACTTTCCCGATGGAATGTGAGATCCACGAAGGTAAGGGGAAGCTTCCACCTTGTTTTCCTCCCTAGGGCTCAGCACAGCAGGTATTCGATAAACGCTAGTATAATAAGTAGACACTGTACCAGTCTGATCTCTGTTGTTAAAATAAAAGACTTGAGGCTGAAATTTTTTACATGAAGGGTTTTTTATTTTGGCTCACAGCTCTAGAAGTCCAAGGGCATGGAGCTAGTATATACCTGGTCTCTGGTGAGGGCCCCATGGTATTCTGTGCATGGCAAAAAGCAAGAGAAGCAGGCACCTTCGGGGGAGAGTCATGCATGTACTAGAGACTGAGAGGACATGCCATGCGCACTTTAAAACAACTTGCTCTTTTGATAATAACTTACTCTTGAGAGAACTATATTAATCCCTTGATAAGGAAGGAGCTCCCATGACCTGAGGTTTAAAGTTCAAATCATGTTTCAGTGACAACACTCTGAACAATTAAGCCTGAGCACACAGTCTGGTGGAAATAAATCATCTTTAAACCATATTAAATACATTCAATAAGAATTCAAAAGGGGACGCAGAAGCCTGTAGTTGTGCTCAGAGTTTAGATGGCCAGCAGCATGGCTGTCACCTAGATCTTCTGGAACTTGTTAGAAATGTGCTTCATCAGAACCCCCAACCCAGAGCAGGGAGGGTTGCATGCATATTTAGGTTTAGGAAGCACCACTTCCATCCGGCAACATAATGCAGAAGGAGAAAACAGACAGAGTTAGCCTACTTAAGAGACTGAGGCCTGGATGACTGCTCGGGTGGGGCCAAAAAGTAGTAGCCTCAGAGACCATTTAAAGGCTTCTTGTTCCCTGCAATCAAGGCCTGCGTTCTGATTCAATCTATTTTGCTTTATAGAGTACAAGGTACATCGTTAGCTTTGTTCAGGAGGGTCAGTGAGTTTTCTCCAGGCTCCATGGAATCAGCTTCTCTCTTGGCCTCATGGTCAGGTAGACATAGGGAAGGCACAGTCTGTCTTGGACTTAAAACCTTATATGTCCAAGTCCTTGACTAACTTTGCTTTACTATAACAAAGCAAAAGGGATTTCAAGAAGATCCCATAAAGATTCTTTCCATCTATCCCACCTCATCCACACGATTCACTTGTGGGCTAGTACACAGGACAGAGTGCCCACGACTATGGACCCCACAGCCTCAGGCACTTGTGAACAGAAGTGGACCCAGTAGGGCATAGTGAAGAAGAGTTCAGCATGGACTGCAGGAGGAGGCAGGTTGTCATTCCCTGTAGCAGGGTTGTAGGTTGATGCTCAGGGTTCAGCTATTTGGAAGTTTTTAGAGTTTTTAGTTAATTTTCTTGTTGCTGTAAGAAAATATCTGACAAGGAGAAATTTGGTGAGAAACGGGTTTATTTGGGTTCACTGTTTGAAGGAATACAGTCCAGTCTGGCGAGGAAGTCATGGCGGTGGATTATGAAGCGGCTGGTCACACTGTATCCACAGTCAGGAAGCAGAGAGAGGTGAATGCTGGTGCTTATCGGGCTTTCTCTTGTTTTCCTTTTTATGCATTCTGGGCACCCATCCCATGGGATAGTGCCAACCATGTTTAAGGTGGGTCTTTTCTCCAGAATTAAACCTCTTGGAAAACACTCTCACAGACACACCCTGAGGTTTGTGTCCTAAAAGATTCTAAATCCTGTCAAGTTAAAGGTAAAGATTAGCACATTAAGTCAGAACCAGACCAAGATCTTTTCTGCCACCAAAGACTTCTCAATTACACTTTTCACAGTCTGAGGGCAGCAGAAACACAGGATACCCAAGTGACAGATGAATTTAAGGAGGTGAGATGAAGTCGAGGATTGCTTTAGGTTCTTATCAATTCAGCAGTTCATTGGCGCTATTCCCTCAGCGGATGGTAGCTTTGCTATTTTGAACAGAAGCCGATCACTGCGTTATTTCCCCAAAAGCCACCTGCTACTTCCTGCTTTTAGTTTTCAGAAGTGGCTTTCTTATTGCTCTGAAGGAATACATCCCTCTTTCACCTGAGGCCACCTCAACTTAAGCATGTAGAACCTTCTTGAATCACTCCTGCATTTGGAAAAGCCAGAGTCCCCAAGTGCCCATCCCAGGGCTCATAAATAACCCAGCATGCTGCATTAAGGGAATACTGAATCCTACCTGCCTATCCAAAGCCTCTCCCCAGCCATCACCAACCTCCTGGGTGCCAGCCCCCATGACTTCCACCGCAGATGCACTAGGTTGTTTAAATGTGCAGTTGCTTGTATTTTCTTAGTGTGTGGTACTGGCAGTTTCAGGGCTTGGCTCATGGTAGGCAAGGGCTCTAACCACTGAGATACCTTCTCCCCCAATTGACTGCTTCCATCCCTTGCAAAAATGAGGACATTTGAGCGTCTTTAGATGCCTCACTCACAATGTTTGAGACCAAGCTTTTGCACTTAACTAAACTGGGGAATTCGGGGGTGGGGGGTGTGCAGGAGAGGTCAGTTGGGTGACTCTAAGGAGAGTGAGGATGGCTGGGAATGGTAATTCTGTGTGATGGATCAAAGTTAATTATTGTCACTCTTTCTGTAAGTTGGCATATATTAATCATATCTATGGTGTACAGTGTGACATCTTGTTACATTTCCTTTTTCCCCTAGCTTTTTACTTAATTTGCGTTCCTTTTCTGTAAAATGGGTCACTGTGAAATTGAATGGGGATCATGCATAAAGAGCTTAGCACAGAGCCTGGCACTTGGGAAACGCTCAATATTTTATACTATTTGCTGTATACCGAGCTGGAGGAAGACAACGGGATTTGTCAAATTTCCATCCCCCAAGCTCCTTAGAGCGATCAGGTGGCTGTTTGGAAGCTTGCAGGAGGCCGTGGGTGCTGACCCGGCGGAGGGACTCTGAGGGCCCAGGTCACCTCAGCTGTGGGTCCCGCCCTCTGCAGGCCTAGGCAGCAGGACTTCACGCGGAGGCGGGGGCCCAGAGCTCCACCCGGCTTGTGCGTCGGCGGGCGGGCGGGGCCGCAAGTCCCGAGCCTGGCCAGCTTATAGCGGCTCTGCCAAGGCGCTGGAGCTCGGGGCAGTGCGCAGCGCGGGCGCAGGCAGAGGCTCAGACACCCTAGCAGCCGACACCCAGGCGGCCTGGAGCCAGGAGAATCATGAGCAGCAAATGTGACGTGATCGTGGTGGGGGGCGGCATCTCAGGTCAGTCACTGCTGCAAGCTCTCCTTTCTTCTCGTGCTCAGACAGGTGGCCCCTCAGGGAAGGCCTCCAAGGCGACCGCGGGGGCGGGGGCTGACCACAGAGTCCCAAGACTGTTCCTGTACCTTAGGCTATCCCTTTGGGTCTGAGCTTCGGCTATAGTCTAGCTGTACCCCCCCGGGAAACGATTTAGTGTGTCCCTGGACACAAGCGAAGGGCTGGAAATATGTTGAGGGTCTGGAGTTAGACTTTGAACTTCCTGGCGTTTTCCAATTCAGGCAAAAGGGGGCTGGATCGCTGGATATACACCTGTTGAGGTTGGGGATGCTGCAAAATTCAGTAATTGGCTCTAGAATAACCTAGACATTCTCTACAGTCAGAACAGGCAAGCAACACGTTGTTATCTTGGCATTGAGCAAATGCCTTGAACAGGAGGAAGGATTGGACCCTGACCAATTGATTGCCAAGGAAGGCCCTTTCAGACTTCCCTAATTCTCTGTGGTCTCCTGACTGTTGTGAGTTCAACTGAGCCTAAAGGGCCTTCTTGGCAAATGCCTCTTCTTTTAGTCCCACCTCTCCTGCCATTCTCCCCTTGCATATCTGGGGGTGTCCAAGTTGCTACTAGGTTCTCAGGTCCAGGCCATATTTGGCAAAGACAGGAGAAGACACTGCCCCTTTCATCCATAAGGAGGCTGGGGACACAATAGAGACAAGAAGCACAGAAGCTAGAAGTGGAGGATGAGGTGAGTGGGACCCTGTGAGGAAGTCAGTAATGTGAGGCCAGTGGGGACAAGCAATGCCATCAGCACAGCCATTTTAACTGATAGCTCAGGGGCACTTTGACCAAACTCCCAGAGCTTCCTAGTGTTTGAGCTGTAACAGAGACACCTTCAGAACATGAAGACCAATTGTCTTAAGACTTGCCCTTATCTGATCTCAAGTGACCTTCTGGGGCAGGGATTGGCCTTGCTTCCTATCAGGAGCATGGGACAGAGGTGACCTAACTCTCTGGAAAGCAGAACGAGACCACAAGCATTGAATATTAGGTGTTGCCCCTAGTCGGGTGCTTTTGTGGCAAGGCACCTTAGCTTCAGGCCAGAGCTTAGGCTCTGTGTAGCCAGCCCTAGGAAGATCACCGGTGGCAGGCCAGCCTGGTGCTGTAAGTACATAGATGCATGAGCACAGTGTGTTGAGGTGACAAAGCTGGGCACAAATTCAGTTTTCATGAGGGTACTTCTAGCATATTCTCTCCCAAAGGAACTTGGACTTAAAAGTATCCCTACCTAGTTGTAGAAAATATTACTGTCTCTTGACGTGTTCTTGCTTAGCCCTCTATCTTTCAAGAAACTGAAATTTCTCTTCTCAAGGCCCCTAAAGTCTTTTTCTTACCCAGAGTGTGCCTCTGCCTCATGGCTTCAGATTTTCTACTTCTCCACCCATTATTTTGGCCTTTATGGTTTATCCTTCAAACTTTCAGCAATATTTTTTTTTCCAGTGTGGGTGCTGAACCTGGAGCCTCGCTTGCATGTGCTGGGTGAGCTCTCTGTTGGTGAGCTATGTCCCCGGTCCTTATACTCCAAACGGTCCAACTGACTGAAATTATTCATGTTATACTCTCATGAAGAGGTAGACAAGGGTTTATCTGTTTTTGTAAATAATGGTAAACTTCTGCATTCACCCCCGACCCCAATCTGATCAAAACAGGAACTGATGAATAGACCTCCAATATCGGGAATTTTATGTGGAATAGGCATTGTACTCAGAACAGTGGAAGCAAGGGGTTCAAGGCCCTGCCTTACTCAATTACTTTATCTGCTACCTGCAGATAACACCAGTTAGTCATAGCCAGATTACAAGATGGCTGCAAAGGGCAAGTGAAACAATGTGTGCCCTAGTTCCGAAAAGTCTAAAATATGGCATCTAGGGGACTGAAGGTGTTAAAATGGAAGATTGGTGCCCTAGTGTCACATTGCCAGATTTTGAGTGCTGGGGGATGAAGCAGGATGACAGAGGGGGTGGGGATCACAAATTCAAATCCAGCTTCCTGGGCTGTTCTGATGTTCTGAGACATTGTCTTTAAAAAAAAAAAGAAGAAAGAAACTGAGGCTGGAGAGATGGCTCAGCAGTTAAGAGCACTGGCTGTTCTTGCAGAGGACCTGGGTTCAGATTCCAGGTCCATGGAAGCAACAACATGGCAGCAACAACTGTCCATAAATCCAATTCTAAGGGTTCCAGTGCCCTTTTCTGACTTCCGAGTGCACTGCATGACACAGGTGCACTACATACATACAGGCAATACACTTGTACACATAAAATAATAAAAATAATAAAAAAGAAACACCTGTCAGTCTGAGAATGGAGCTAAGATAGCCAAAGGACAATATTAGCAGAAATAATTTCTTGTTGTCTGTTTTACAACAAGGTAATAACAGATACCAAAACCATACCATGTATTTCAAAAAAACTAGAGAGAAGAATTTTAAATATTTTCATTACAAAAGATGACAGATGTTTGAGCAGATAAAAATGCTTACTTTCATTTGAGTATTATACAGTATGCACCTGTGGCAAAACATCACATGGTACCCTAGAAATATATGCAATATTTTTGCTGTGCTGAGGATGGAACACAGGACCTCACAAATGTTAGCAAAATGCTCTACCGGTGAGCTACACCCCTAGTTCTGTACCATTTTTATGTGTCAATTAAAAATAAACTGGGCATGATGACACACACCTTTAATTCCAGCACTTGAGAGGTAGAGGTAAGCAGATCTCTGAGATAGAGGCCAACCTCATCTATATAGTAAGTTCTAGGCCAGTTGGGGCTACAGGGAGACTGTCTCAAAAGGACAAAAATAAATATATAAAAGATAGAGACTGGCGAGGTAGCTCAGTAGCTAAAGCACTTGGTTCACAAGCATGAGAACTGAGTTAAACCCCCCAGAACTCATGTAAAAAATAAACAACTAGAAAGAATGCAAGAGCAGGCAGATAGGAAGAAGGGCTGTACAATGCTATGTCTTGGGCAAGATACAGCAGTTGCAATCACGAACTCACAGCAGCTTCAGATGCTTGCACTAGGTCTACACAAGAATGGGCCCCATCAACAGTCAGGTATGGATGGAGAAGCATTTCAGAGCACTTTATTCTCACAGCTGGACTGTTTGCTACTGAAAGAGGGGGAGCTACTGCCTTCACTTGCATACCCACTGATGACCCCACCAGGCTTCAATGGATAGTTCCATTCCATTGGTCACACACCCTGATTATAAATGGGTCACAAAACAAAACTGAAAGTCATGAATCTGGGAAAGGGACTGGTATTGATGGATGAGGTAGGTGGTTGGTAGGGATGAGAGGGACGTAAGAGAGGGACAGAGTAATCAGAACACATTATATACATGTATGAAATTGTCAAAATACAAAATTAAAATTAAAACAGACATGGTGGCACATGCTTGTAATTGCAGCTCTGGGGAGGTGTAGATAGGGGAATCCTTGAGGCTTACTGGCCAACCAGGCTAAAGTGCTTGGTGAGCTTCAGGCTAGTGCGAAACCATATCTCAATAAAATGGGTGTAATGGAACCTGAAGAATGGTACTTGAGTTGTCTTCTGACTTCCACACTCATATAGATACACACACACACACACACACACACACACACACACACACAGAGCCAGAGAGAAAATACAAGATTGAAGAAGGTTATATGAGTCACAGGAGGGCTCTGTTTGTTTATTTAATGAATGTTTACTCCCTGTCCCACATCTTGATCCAAAGGGAATTGAAAATGAATTATACAGGGCCATTGATCCTGGAATCCTCACAAGTCAATGTGGGTGACAAAGTCATGATCCATTGATAAAAATGACCTGTGATAAGTGCATTACTAACACACACACACACACACACACACACACACACACACATACACAATTCTTGGAAGGTAGTTGTAGAAAATATTTTTTTAATCTGAGAAATTCTTGGAAAACTTTACAAAGTGAACTGAGTCTTAAAGAATGAAAAGAATTGATCAGAAGGCCAGATGATAAAAGCATTTTAAACTGAAGAATAAGTCATATACAAGCATGTATATGAAAGAATCACAGAGGATATTTAGGAAAGATTAAGAATTTTGGTGTGAAGAATTGGGAGAAAGGTCTGGTAAAAATAAAACAAACAACAAAAAAAGCGGTTAAAATCTGGGCACGGTAGCACATGCCTATAAATTCTAACATTTGGGAGGCTGAGGCAGGAGTTTAAGGCCAAGGTACATAGCAAGACTGTGTTGAAAACTATTTTTAAAATATTATTAAATTAAAAAGTATCCAACAATATTTTTTGAAGGGTCAGCTGAGATGAATTGTGGGGAGTCTTTTATGGTTTTCTGCTAAACACAAAAGGTTTAGCTGCTTCTGTAGTCCACAAATAGTGATGATAGTTCTTTTTAAGAAAGAACTGTTTATCTATTATTTTTATTTTATGTGTATGAGCGTATTGCCTGCATGTATGTAATTGTACCAGTGTCATGCAATGCTCACAGAGGTCAGAAGAGGGCATCAGATTACCCTGGACTGGAGTTAGCTGCCATGCAGGTGCTGGGAATCAAATGCAGGTCCTCTACAAGAGCAGTCAGTGCGCTTAACAGCTGAGCCATCTCTCCAGCCCCCAAGATGATAATTCCTAATTCACAAAACATGTGTGGAATGACTGGCAACGTGGAGATGGTATTGACAAAAAGAGAGAAGGGAAGAGGGCAGAGGTAGGTTTTAGCAAAAAGACAGGACATCTGGAATTGGACGTACTTGGGGAGACACCCTAGGAGAGAAATGTAGCAGTTAAAAATGTGAGGAAGCAATTGGTGTCATAGATTTGCATGGCAGAGAAGTTTTAGTTGAAGCAACTACAGTAGAATAAATGGTCCAAAGCAAGCGAAGAGTGCAAAATTTTAGAACCTGGAGGTCATTATGTGATGGTTTATGTTTTAAGTTTCCAGAG